CCCTTCCCCAATTTCCCAGCACTGTTCCCATCGCCCAGCACTGTTCCCATCCCCCAATTCCCCAATTAAAAAAAAAAAGAAGACACAAACTCAAAAGCTTGCGCACCACAGCTGTGGGAGGCGGGGCCACCAGACTGGTAAGCTAGAGAGCCACGCCCACAAGCAGCGGGGGCGGGGCGCACTCGGCGCCAGCCCACTGATGCCAGGTAGGGAGCGCAACCAGCTCACCAAAAGCCAATTTTCCAATGCCGTCTAGTGTTTCAAAGCTGTACAACACTAGAAGGACCAAACGGGATACATCTGCAGGATGGATTTGGCCGGAGGCACCCCTGGGGGGCCTTGGTGGCTCAGGAAACCAAGGAACCCCCCAGGGAAGCACGTGACTTGGTGTCTGAAAGGGTGTGGCTGGAGACCAGGTGAAGGAGCCTGGGCAGGACAGGGGTGGGGGGAACTTGTGTGCGAACAGAAACTCAAGCAGACTGCGGACATGTCCATAGGGAGGGTGTGTAATAAGAATTCTGAAAACACCATGTGAGCCAGCCGAGATCTGTCTGTGAGTGGCCATCGGTGGACGGGCACAGCCTCCGCGTTGTGGTCTTCTTCCCAGGATGCCCCGGGAAACACGTGCTCTGAGGCGCTCTGCAGCTGCAAGGCCCTTGGCTCACCCACCCTCATCACCACCACACTGACCCTGCTGAATATATCTCGTCATTACATTGTGTACCTAAAACTAATAAAATGCAGTTTTTTGGTTGCACTAATCACATTTCAAGTTCTCAACAGTCACCCCTGGCTAGTGGCTACCGCACTGGACAGGGCAGAGACAACACTGTGACTAATATCACTGCAGAAAGTTCTATTGTACTAGCCCAGACCACCAGGACATGTCACAGAAATAGGCCACAAGGGAAATCTCACATCCATCCATTCATTCATGAATCCCGAAACAGCACCGTTTCTGTGTATAAAATATACCCCTGGGTGACCCATCCTGCCTGACTCACAGTTGTGGCCAGGTTAAAAGGTGGCATGTGGGTAAGGATGGTGATGGTGTTTTATGGAAGGATGGCATCATATAGCACGTAACTCATGCTATTATAAAGGAAAATGGGTGGTGGCTGGTAGGGAGCCACTGGAAGCCCACTTCTGCATCGGTTGTCATGTAGTGTAGAAGGGAGGCTACTGCTTCTGTTCGCCCAACAGCTCTGCAGGGCACATAGTACTGAGAAAACCAGAGAAAAACCAACCCACCTCAGCTCCCTTCCCAGCTCTGTCCCTTACAAGTGACTGGCTGGGCGAGTCATTTAACCTGGGGACAAACGTATGATCGCATCCTCCTCCTGAGCCCAAGCAGACATCCCCAACCACTCATGTGCCCTTTCCTTGACGAACCACAAGGAAAGTTTCAGGTCCTTCTTCAGACAGCAGTCCAGGCAGCCATCTCCAAGCAGAATGGCCGAGAGACAGGTCTGTCTGCCCCATGAGATCTCACTGTTTCAGCCCCACCTTCTTCATCTACCCGGTGGGGATGTGACACCCACCTTGCAGGCGTGCTGGGGGATAACTGAGATGGTTCATTTGTTCAGTTACTTGTTCTTGCATCAGACATTCACTGAGTGCCTCCTGGGTGCCTCTTGCCTGCCTGCTAAAGGGCAGGTGTCTGACGAGTGTGGACCTGTGTGCCGCTGTCTGGGTGTGGGCGTGGGCAGCTAGCCTCCATGTCCTTACTTCCCCTGGAGTCCCTCCCCTCAGCCGGCTCACACTCACCCATCACCTATGATAGGGTAACGAGTCCATCACAGTTCGCCTGAGGATTTAACAGGCAGCCTCTTTTCTAGCACCTTCCTTTCTTATGTTCTGAACAAGCCGTGGTTGGAGTATCTCCCCTCGTCTAACTCTTCTTCCTTGGACTCCCATACCCAAAACCCTATATTAACAAGCCGTGTCTACCAGGCTAAGCTGTATGTCCTATAAACGCTCATTTTATCTCCTTTAAAACACACAGTGATGGCATTCTCTGAGAACAGTCAATCAAACCAACCCGCAGTTGCCCTTGTTTGCGTCTCCTGCCCCCGGTTAGTTCTGGCAACAGATGGGCGCACGTTACGTTACATACACGGCACCCCCATTGGGGACTGCAGGCTCCCGCTCTGCTCTGTGGGTAGAAATGCCTCGTGTCTCATTCCCGGCAGCCACCGGCTCCTCCAAGTGCCCACAGCGACACCCTGATATCCTGCTCCTCTTTCTCATTCTCAGCACAGAGGGAAGGTGAGTGCAGGTTAAAGAGGAGGCAGGCCTCGGCAGAACGGAATGAAGCTTATCTCCTGTGTAATCCAGCACAGAAAATCCGCTTTTTGTGCCCTGAGATAGATATACAATGGCAGGGCCAAGCTACAGGGCGTGGGTCTGGGCAGCCAGCTCTGTCTCACTGTCCATTCCAGAAGATGCTGGGACCACCTGCCAGGAAGCACCCAGAGGACTGGGACACAAGAGGACACGCCCTCAGATGCTAGGGGTGCATGGCTGCACTGGGAGGAGGGGGGCAAGGAGCCCCTAAACACACCGGGAACCAGGGCCTGTGGGGAAGGGGAGGCTGACATTCTCAAAGCGACTTCCTCACTTATTCCACTGGTTTCAACTTGTTCTTAAATTTTAACTTTAGGTATTTGCTTTTAAAAACTCAAAAATAGAAATCAGAGAAAGCTTTCGTTGCTTCTCTGAGGCAGCGTCATGCGTGAATGGAGCCCCCTCCCCGACAGTGCCTGGGGGTTTACCCTCCAGATCCCCAGAGCCTCGCAGACGTTTATTGGGTGGGAGAGTCAGCAGGAAGCAGTGCAGAAAGGAGGACAGGAAGCAGAGAGAAGTACAGACTCTCCTGATTGGTCCCCGTCCGCTTCTAACCTACCTGCCCATGACCTTGAACAAGCACCCCAACTCTCTTACTCTCAGTCTCTCATCTGGATATCAAAAGGGGTAAGACGACTTCTTCTCGGTTCCTGGGGAACGGACTCCTTTGTTTATTCAACAACCAAGGGTTTCTACTTTGAATAGAGCAGTGGTGGAGACACACAGGTCCTGCTCCCAAGAGGCAGGCGTTCATTCTGGGACAGGGTGATGACGGAACATATTTATGAGGCCCTGAAGTGGTGTAAAAGTCAGGGGGACAGGCTGGCTTCCTGGATAAAGTGACCAGTTGAGGTTTTCAGGAATGCGAGGCAGAGACAGGAATGTTGAGTTAAGCCAGGTGGGAGGGGCCTGGAACTAAAAGGGTAACTGCCATGGAGGGTAGCGGGGAGCCACTGCAGCTGGCACTTGGGAGGGGGCGTGAGCAAGGGGCGGGTGCCAAAGAGACAGAGGCAGGGCCTGGGGCACAGGGATGCGGGGGCTCTGCTGTCACGCTCGGGGGTCTGACCTGGAGTCTCTGGGTCAAGGGGGGGCCTCTGAGGTCTGAGGCGGCAGAGAACCGTGAGGAGACCTCCCAGTAGCTGCTAGAGACAGATGGAAGTCTGGGAATGATTAAGAGGTTGCCACACTCTGCCACACCTCTGTGCCTTGGCACACACAGTTCCCTCTGCCTGGGACACACTTTCTCCTTTTCTGCCTCACTTCTTTCTGCTATAGCTCAGGTATGTGCTCCTTCAGGTACCTTTCTAACCTCTCCCAGACTGAGGAGGGCTCCCTCCAACAGGCCCCAGGGGTTACTCTGGGGCAGGCCAGCTCCAGCCCACAGATGAGTTTGGTTTGAACTATAGGGTTGAAAAGAACTTAAATTAGCTACTGACATTCACAAGCCAGAAAAGCTGACAGCAAAACCTGGCTCCCCAGCTCCCCGGGAATGCTCAGAAGACCCAGCAGTGCTGGCTAGCTTTCCTCCACGGCAACCAGGCGCTGAAGCTGAGAAACGGCCTTCCCTGTGCCTGGGGATGTGCTGGTCAGTCTGCCCTACTCCCCACTGTGCCCTTGCGTCCCTCTGACCATACTGAGGCTGAGTTCAGAGTGGGGTCCCATTTATCACCTTGCTTGTCCTGTCGCCTCCCTTACAGCAGACCGGAAAGGAAAGGAGAACAAGTCTCATCCCGTGTCCACCATAACTGGGCAAAGAAGACAGGCTGAGGGGTCCCGTCCTTCCTCACTGAGATCCCTGCTGTGCCCTGGGGCTTCTCTGGGTTCACTTTCATCAAGGCCTTTATAACACTGCACTATCTGTCTACGTTCCTTGTTTGCCAGCTTTTGGACAAGGAGGACCTCCGGGGGGCTGAACTGTCTTACACCAGTGCCCCCAGAATTGACCGTGAAGCCTGATGGCACCTAGTATGTGCTCAATAAATGTCAAGTAAAGGAACAAATGCAAATGAATACGTGAAACACAGTCCAGTGAGGAAAGACAAGATGAAGGCCTGGGTGCCGGTAGTGGTGGGAAGGCAGCAGGAGGGGACAAGTTCTGGGAGCAGGGGGGCACCAGAGTACAGAGGGTGAGAGCCTGGCTGTTTGGAGCGGGGTCCACACCCCAGGAGCATCATACACCGGGGAGCTGCTCAGACACAGAATTGGGCTCTGCCCTAGACCTGCTGAATTAGAACCTGCACTTTAGCAAGGTCCCAGGTGACCCACGACAGTTTGAAAAGCACTGGCTAAGCAGAGAGTGGTCTTGGAGTCTGACCGCAGAAGTTCAAATCCTCACGCTGCCGCTTACTGGCTGTGTGACCCGGGGCACGTTACATAGCCTCTCTGTGTGTCTGTTTCCTTATCAGTTAAAGTGGAGCCTGAGTTTGTATTTTTCCAGTTTCTCCAGAGGGTGGCCTGAGTCCACGTCCCAGACCTCCAGGGAGGCCGTGCTCCTGGTGGCTCTGACCAGGCGGTGTGAAGCTCCCCAGCAGACACTTGCTATGCCCAGCAGGGCCTCGTGTACCCATCCTGCAACTTCAGGAATCAGGCTATGAGACAGCACTGAATGCTTCCATCAGATGCCCAGGGAGGGAGAAATCGGGCCAGTTACTCACCCCATCAGCCATCCAGTAATTCCACACCTTGATCTTGGCCAGACCAAAGCCACACAGTGGTCTCACGTTGCGGATGACAAAAAACAGCTTGAGCGGCGGGTGGAAGGGGCACGTCCACAAGGAGGGGTCTTTCTTGCTCTGAAATACCAGCAAGAGGGAAGTCGTCAGTACACGTGTGCCTCTCCCCACAGGGCACCAGGGTGACTCTTTCTTTCCCTAATGAAAACCAGGGCAGAGCTGAGAGCTGAGGGCGGGCAGCCAGGTCCTCTTCTCTATAGAATCCGGGGCCAGGTGTTGGATCTCACCCCATCTGGACTGACTGACCCTGGTCTTTGGCTAAAGCTACCACTCAGGCCCTTCCCTCTGCCATCCAGACTGAATTTAAAATGCAGTGGGCTTTATTTTAATCAAGGTAATCCACTCTGAGAATAGCCCTGGGGTGGAGGGAGGGGTGCAGGACTAGAGGGGAAGGTTGGAAAAGAGCCACCACAGACCCTATCTGATAAACCTGGCAAACAGAGCCTTTGATTTTTTTTTAAACCTTGTCAAATTAAACAAACAAACAAACAAACAAACAAAAACAGAAAAGAAAGAAGCTGGCTCAGATGTTTGATGGGTAGGGGCCATGGCACTGAGCCGCAGGAGTTAGATTGCTCCCTTTAAGGCAGCGTTCTCAACCTGTGGGTCCCAACCCCTTTGGGGGTCGAACGACCCTTTCACAGGGGTCGCCTAAGACCATGGGAAAACAAAAAGATATTTACATGATGATTCATAACAGTAGCAAAATTACAGTTATGGAGTAGCAACGAAAATAATTTTATTATTGGGGGTCACCACATGAGGAACTGTATTAAGGGGTCGCAGCATTAGGAAGGTTGAGAACCGCTGCTTTAAGGGTCCCAGTGTCCAATTTCCGCATTTCTGCCCACCTGCAGGAGAGGCTGCCAAGGCCACTGTGAAGGCCAGTGGGGCAGAGAGCCCAGAGCCTCGCGGTGGCTTTCGTTCGTTTGCACCAACATTTTACATCAGGAGTGCTTTGGAAGCAGATGGAGAAGCCAATAGGGATTTTCTCAGCTCTAATCACCTTCTCTCTTGTGTTTTCCATGCCTCGCCTGCTCTCCGTCGGTACAAAGCTCTCAGCTGGTCGGTCCCAAGCATCTCCACACTCACTCAGCCTCTGTGCCTTTACTCAGGCTGGGCCTCTGCACGCAACATGGTTCCTGCCCTTTTCACCCTGAGAAATCCAGCCCAGATGTGCTGTCGTCTCCATGGTCACTGCTGCCCTTGACATACTCACTCTCTCCTCCACGTGCCAGCATGTGGTTCCTTGCAATGCCTGAGGTTGCCATTTCCCTCAGTGTCACACGACTACCTGTTTTCAGGTCCAGGTCACTACGCCCACACTCAGCTGTGAACCCTTTAAGGGACGTGGCTGTATCAAATCCATCCAAGAACCTGTAGCCTTCGGCACAGTTCCTTGGCACATGGTAAATGCCCAAAAAGCTTTGTGGAACGAATAAATGAATGGATCCATGAAATTTACCTCTTGATATCTGTCCTCTTGTTGAAACGTTAAAGAAGAGATTGTAAACTGGGTCTGGCCTGTGCAGCTATTGTGTTTGGCTTATGATTGTTGTTAAAAAAAAAAAATAGGCAAATTCGTTGCTGACACTTAAAGATGGAGATAACCCCACTGGATTCTTGGCTTCTGGCAGACGTAGTAGAATAGGGTCCCTGACAGCCATAGGCGGGTGCTCTCGGCGCCCCAGTCCCCAGCACTCCCTACTATTACACCTTCCTTATGCCTCTGCTGGCCCTACAGGCACCTGAGTTTAGGGTCCCTGCTTAGGGGCAACAGTTCTAAGTCCCAATAAGCAACGGCCGTACCTCTGCCACTGGCCGAAGTTGTCCCTTTTGCTGACTGGGAGCACCGGCCTGTATCTGAGAAGGCCTCCAGGGACTCTTGTCACCAAGGCCGCGCCTGCTACTGGACAGAAGTGGGGAAGGAGGGAATTGATTGGCTGCCTCCGGGGGTCTGTTGGCCCCCAGGAGATGGAGGCCCAGGCTCCAGCTGCCTGGGAGCACAAAGGTGGCTTGTTCCAGTGACAACGGTTTCTTTCAGGAGGGTTTTGTTTAAGGGGCAGAGATGAGTTCAAGGAGTTCCGACTTACTCTGGCAAGTTTCTCAAGCTCCGCAAGAACTTTTCGTGCTCTGGGCAGCTGTGAGGGGTCAAGATCGCACATCTCAAAATCCGGCAGGGGCCTCATTACATCACCGAGCTGGGGCCTAACATGGGTCACTGTGGCTGCCTGACAAAGGCACAGGCTGAAGGCTGACCCTAGCACGTGGGCGAGAGGGCTGGAATTGACTGCCTTTCACGTTTCTGTCAGCAGGAGGAATAGCGGGAGGGCTGAATGGGAACCCTGGTGTCAAAGACCATGAACCAGCGGAGAACTGGGGGCCTCATTAGCAGCCGATGTCTTCTTTCCACAGACAGAGTCTCTGAGAAAAAGGCTGACAGGAAGCCCTGAGAACTGACCCTGGATGCGGTGGGCAAACCCCGCCCCTCACTGGGCGGGGCCAGCAGGCAAAGCGCCAGCCCCACCTGCCCATCACTGGTGGTTAGAAAGATGGCAGTACCAGAACCAGGGCCCCTTCACGCTGCCCCTGTTCTCACAGCCTTGGGAGGTGCGTGCTGCTGTGACACTCGCGTAACAGAAGGAAGACCAGGGCACAGCAAGGGCAGTGGCCTGCCAAGGCGGGGCAGTGAGGGTTTGCGCCTAGGCTCTTAATTTATGAATTCGTTCTTAGTCTGGATTCCCCCAGAAGCAGAGCCAAGGCAAGGATTTTATTGAGACGGCGAAGGAAACGCAAGTTGGAGCATGGGGAAGAGAGAAGAGGCAAGGTGGCCCATGAAAAGTGGGTTACCAAATTGGCCACCCCCATGGGTGTTGCAGCTCAACCCCATTTGGGGAGCTGGCAGCCAGCGCGGGAGATGCCTCAAGGGGCTCCATCCACGGACAAGGGAGCTGGGGTGCTCCTGGGGGCTCCTGCCCACCAGTGTGGGCCTGGGGACCAGGAAAAAAAAATCCTCCACCTGAGAAACATTGGTGTTGGTGGTTGGAAGGTCAGATGGCGTGCACCAAGTAGGAAGGTCAAGAGCTGGGGGCACCCACACACCTGCTACCCAGCCGCCCAGCAAACCCAGAGTCCATCCTGTGGGTGAAGCGCTGAGCTAGCTGCAGTGGGTGCCGGAGTCACCAGGTTCCAGCTCTGTGCTAGCTGGGGAGGCAAACATGTAAAAATGCCAAGGAAAAAAATCAAGCAGGGATGAATTTGATGAAGAGAAGAGAGAATTATTAGTGGCCGATGGAATAATTACCGTATTTCTTTTTTATTTTTATTTTTATTTTTTTCCCCTCTTTTTGGAAGGGTTACTTTAGAATGGACAGTCAGAGAAAGCCTCTCTGAGGAGGTAAATAACTTTCTAACTCCAAAACAAAAGGTGCTTTGCTCTTCCAGTGTTAACCTAACACAGATCCACCTGTCTCAGGTAGATGCCAGGTGGCCCTCACCAAGTAGCCTCAATTTAATAAATTACTGCAATAAAAAAGGAACCAACTATTGATGCACATACAATTTGGATGGAGGTCAAGGGCATCATGCTGAGTGAAAGAAGTCAGTCTCCAAAAGGTTACACACAATATGATTGCATTTATATGGCAGTCTTGAAATGACAAAATTATACATAATAGATCAGTGGTCGCCAGTGTGACGGGCTTCTCTCCCCAGCCCTGAAACTCTGGGCTGGGGAGCCTGGTTTGGGGCCAGGACCCGTCACTCCTGCAGGGCGGTGGGCATCTGAAGCCAAGATATCCCTCCTGAGTTTTAACAGCCACACGTGGGTATGGGGACCAGCCCGTTCTGTGTCTCTGCCCCTCCTACCAGTCTCCACGTGGCTTCTTCTGTATGTCCTTCATTATAGGACTTCTGTTCAGCTAGACTTCGGGCGATTCTCAGTGATGGTTGTTCTGTAGTTTAGCTGTAATTTTGATGCGGCTGTGAGAGGAGGTGAGGACAGCATTTACGTACTCCGTCATCTTGACCGGAACTCCAGATTTTCTATTTCTTCTGAGTCAGTTTTGGTAATTTGTGTCTTTCCAGGAAGTTGTCCATTTCATCTAGAATATCTAACTTGTTCGCAGACAACTGTTCACAATATTCCCTTATAATCATTTTTATTTCTGTGATGTCAGTAGTAATCCCCCTATTTCATGCCTGAGTTTAGTGATTTGAATCTTTTCCCCTTTTTTTCTTGCTCGGTCCAGCTAAAGCTTTGTTGATTTTTTTGACCCTTTCAAAAAACAACTTTTGACTTTACTGAATTTTCTCTATTGTTCTCCTACTCTTTACTATTTTTTTTTTTGAATTTTCTGTAAGTATCGAATTAATTACAAATAAAAAGTTAAAAAAAATGTATCGTGTACTTTTATGTGCTAGGAATAGAGTGTGAAAGGTATAAAGAAGAATTTACAGATGCGTGAGGAAGACAGGTGAGAAACAAGCGAACAAGATTGTTTCTTGTAGTGAGAAGCGCTCTGAAGAAAATGCAAAAGGATGATGGGATAGAGACTGGGGTGGGGACTGTATAGTCAGGGAAGCCTGGCCGAGAACGTGATAACGGGGCTGAAATCTGACTAAGGAGAAGGAAGCCAGCCCTGGGAAAATCTGGAAGGACGTTCTGGACGGAGGGGACAACGAGGGCAGAGCCCAGAGGTAGGCATGAACTTGGCAGGTGAGTGGAGCAGAAGGAAGCCTGCGGCTGCTGGAGCTGTGTGTGTGGGGCAGGGTGAGTAAGGAGCAGGCTGGGAGGGAGCTAGAGGCCTGAGCACAAACGGCTTCCCAGGCCTCAGAGAAGCCTGTTGGACTTTATTTCTAAGCGCAAAAGGAAGTCACAGCAGGGGTTTTAGGTAGGGCAGGGGTGCAAGCAGTTAAAAATTAGATAGGAGGCCATTTCATAGCACCAGTAAGAGGAAACAGCTGATCAGACTTGGGAGCTACCAGTGGAAGTGGAGAGAAGGGGCCAGATCCAGCTGTATTTGGGGAGTAGAATCAACAGGACTTGGGTTGGGGGTGGGGGGCAATCAAGGAAGACACTAAATGGTGGGCCTGGGCAGCTGAGCAGATGGCATTTACGGGAATGCTGGAGGAGGAAGAAAGGTGGGCACCGGCAAAGGAATCAACATTAGGTTTTAGATCTCTGAAGTCTGAGAGGTCCACAGACGGCCATTCCAGTCAGGAACTAAGAGAGGCAGGCAGGGCTGAGTGTATAAATTTGTAGTCACCTTGAAGCAATGGGCCTGGGCAAGGCCAGTAAGAGAGACGGTGGAGGCTTTGTTCGGACGTGGGGCGCCCCCACATCTCTCAGTGTGCCCCAAGCCCACCTCCATCCACACAGCTTCTCTTCTGAACTCAGACTCCCCTTCCAGTTCCCTTCTGTTCAGCTTCAGCCGGGCTGCACGACTCCATGGCAGTGTGGCCTAGGGCGAGTCACTTAGCTTCCCCAAGACTCGGTTTTCTCGTTTAGCAAATGTGGAAGGTACTCCACAGTCCATGTGAGGACTAAATGAGGCTGTCTCAGGCCCTGGCCGGCACGCTGTGGGTCGTGAAGAAACTCCAGTGCCAACTGGATGGTTCTGAGAGGAAGTGTGCTCCGGTGGCCCTGGACCTGGCACACAGGATGATACCAGGGAGACCCCATGCCAGGGCAGCAGAGGGAATCCAGCCCACCTACAGCTGGACCCAGAGATCCAGCAGCCCCGGAGGGGAGACAGCTGCCTCATGTCCCAACCTCAGAGCCCCAAATAAGAAAACCCCAAACCCGCCAAAACCACGGGCCAGAGTCCCCCCTGCTATCACCTGGCAAAGCTCACCTGCCCCTGCCAGCCGGAGAAGAAGGGAGAGTAATCATCAGAACGGGTCGCCATCAAATGCAATGATGCTTTTTATAGGCTCTGGGATGCTCTGTTCTGTACAGCGGGCTTCCAAATGCCACTGCTTTGTGCAAAGGGGGTTGGGAGAGAGGGAAGGGGCTAGTCCGAGCCCCAGCAGCACAGAGGGGAGCCTACAGGCTCGGAGCAGGATGCACAGAGGGGACACACAAGGCCAGCGCACTCCAGTGGCTGTGATGCACGGGACCTATGTCTCTCAAGACTCAGGAATCACAGAGCTGCTGCTCCGGGGGCGTGCCTGACGCCACACAGGCCCACCCTGTGGATGGTGGTGCTTCTCTCCATCAAGCATCTACGCCGCCTTTCTTTCAGTGACAACGCTGAACGTCTCAGGCAGAATCCCCACCCTGTCCTGGCATTTTGGTGGAATCAGCATCTAGGTGCCCGGCCCCCCGGTGAGGTTGGTCCATCAGTCTTACTGTCCTGGGTTGGGTATCACCAGCACAGGGACAGGCTGACAAAGCAACTATCCAACTAATCAACCAATAAAACACTGCCCGTTCCCCCAATAAAGAGCACCAAACCCTCAGTGCACACGCACCCCAGAATGCTGCCTGGAACCCCACCGTGACCCTGGGCCTGTTCTCCTCCATCTGGGTGATAGCAAGCACTAGCTACTCAAAAGATGTACAATAAAGGGTTCTTTTAAAAAATGTGCTAAAGTGAGACAGACTCAGTTTCTGCTGCTGGCAAATAAGGATTATAATGGATTATGCACACTCTTCCCTCCCATTTTAGAGGGCAGGAAAACGGACTTAGAGAAGGCAGGTGAGTCGCCCAAGTCTAAAGAGTCAAGCCCAGAAGCCGGGACCCCAGGACCGGGGATTTCACAGTTCCCTTTCGTTTCCTTTTCTTTAGAACGGAAATAGGAACACCTACTTCCTAGTGGTATCAGTACTATTAATACTAATAACAATGAGGAGCAGCTGGGTGGCTCAGTTGGTTAGAACGCGGGCTCTTAACAACAAGGTTGCCGGTTCGATTCCCACATGGGATGGTGGACTGCACCCCCCGCAACTAGATTGAAAATGGTGACTTGACTTGGAGCTGAGCTGCACCCTCCACAACTAGATTGAAAGACAACGACTTGACTTGGAGCTGATGAGTCCTGGAAAAACACACTGTTCCCCAGTAAAATTTCTTTAAAAAAAAAAATACTGATACCAATGAGAACAATAATAGCTGGTATTTGGGAGCCCCAGGAAGAGCCAGGCTGGTGCTAGGCTCTGCACAGCACCATGAGCCTGACAACGGCACATCAAGCAAGCACTATTATCACCCCATTTGGCAGATGCGGAAACTAAAACAGAGGTTAGGCAAGTTGCCCGTGGTCATGAAGCTGGAAGCGGCCAGCTCTGAACCATGCCCTTCTGCTCCATGAGCCTGGGAGCTGTAGGTGTACGTCAGGCTGTATATCCAGGCCTGGCACCGGCCAGGACTACACATGTGATCACCGCTTTCATTTGCAATATTTTCTACATGTCCATAGAAGGACATTTAGACAAATATGTGTCCAAGGCAGGAAATGTAAAAGGTGCAAAAGAGCACCCCAGGGCAAGTCTTTCTGTCACCCCTGCCCCTTGTCCACCTTGTTCCGTGGCCCAGAGGCAACATCCGCTCCTAGTCTCTCGGGGCCCTCCCGGAGGTGACTACAAATGATGCTGAGACACAGCACAGGGAAGATGGCACCGCCAGGCAGTCTTATCTCGACCCGCAGTGGCAGGAAGCGAGAATGCCAGTGCTTTTTTAAAAACCTGTTAGATATTTAAAGGAAAGGACTGCTCCACGTTTGTTGGGTGTGCACCCCATGACCCTGGGGAAGTAGAAGCCTGAACGGGGTGTGGGCAGGGACCCGGGCCAGGCTGCGGGATGTGCACGTGGCCCACCCACCTGTCAGCTGTGTGACCTTGGCCCAATCACAGCCCTTCTCCAAGCCTGTTTCTTCACCAACAGAACGAGGGCGCTGACCTCAGTGACCCCAGAGGTCTCACGTCTGGGGGTGACTGTGCAAAGCGCAAGGTGGATAAAAGGGGGTGACCTGGTCCTTCCTTGTCATCTCCCAAGAAAAAGGCACAAGGAAGCAGGAAACGAGCTCCTGGGGCCAGTTTGGGGGCCCCTCGCTGTACCTTTCCCTCGGGCTCCTCCCCACTTCACCCCGAACAGAGGAGCGACTGGAAGATTACTCTTCTTCCCCTCCCCACATTCCACCCTCATCATGGGCTTCTCGTGGGCCGAGAAAATGCATCAGAATTCAAGGTCAAGACTCACTCCGGGCCACGTCCACTTACAGGCAAGTTCCGGTTGACCAGGAGGCCCAGGTCCCCGGGCGTGTCCATGCTCCACACATCCACGTCACGAGGCGACACGTACAGCTTGGTGTCGTTCAGGTCGAAGAACTCGACTTCCGTGAGACCCACCCTTGACGGGTTCCCCCAGTTGGACAGAACTTCCACCTTCACCTGGATGGCATCTTTCAGCGCGTCTGCTCTCATTCTCAATGTGTCCTTAGAGAAGAGGAAAATCACAGCAATGCATTAAACATCACAGGCTGCGTTCGGCTCTACCTCTGAAGGGCAAGCTGTTTAACCTCGCGATGCCTGTTTCTCCATCTGTATAATGGGCGTAAGAAAGGCATCCACTACGTGTGGTTATTATGAAGAGGAAATGAGCTATTTGTACAGCACTGAAAACACAGAGACTGTGTACCCTGGTGCTTAGTATTTTCTGTAAGTTTGCAAATAACCAAAACCGCGTAGAAGGCATCAGCTTCCGCCTGAATATCTTGCCTGCCTCTCCCCCGCTGCCAAGCGCTCATGTCCTATGGGCATGGCACAGCTCCTGCTGAATTGGGCAGGTGTTATGGGCTAAATGGGGGCCCCTCCAAAAGTGTATACGGAAGCCCTAACCCCAGGACCTCTGAATGTGACTGTTTTTGGAGAAAGGGCCTTCGAAGAGGTGATTACGTTAAAATGAGGCCATTAGGGTGGGTCCTGATCCATTCTAACCAATGAGGACATCTGGACACCTGGAGAGACCCCAGAGATGCACGTTCACAGACAGAAGACCGTGTGAGGACACAGTGAGGACAGGACGGCCATCGGCAAGCCGAGGACAGAAACCAAACCTGCCGGGACCGTGATCTTGGACTTCCAGCCTCCGGAAGTGTGAGAAGTGTGAGAAAATACATCTCCACTGTTTCAGCCGCCATTCTGGGGCATTTTTTATGGCAGCCCAAGCATATTCGTACAGCAGATAACACGGGACCCTGGACAAGTCACTTGACATCCCTCAGCCTCGTTGGGAAATATGAGATGCCACCATCTCTCTGACAATCCTGTCACGGAGACTAAGCGAGGTGGGAACGCCTGAGCAGAGCCTGTCACCAGGCCTGGCTCCTGCGTGTCCTCCATAAGTGTCCATTCCCTCCCGTTTCTCTCCTTCCCTGGATTTACGGCCTGTCTCCTTTGTGGGCAGGCTGTGTAATCTGAGAGGCCACGTGAATGCCAGCAGTAAACGGCCACGCTGCGGAATGGCTTCCTGGGGCCCCCAGGGCCCGACTGCGGTGCCGGCTGCCACGGATCAGTGGCTGGTAAAATGGCGCCCTCCCTGCGTGCACATGCCCTCTGTTAATTAGCACTAGTGATCTGCAATGGTTCTGTGAGCGGGGAGCTGAGCAAACGAACAGCAACTGTTCCCTGCTTATTTTTTTAATTAATAGCCAGCGAGACATGCTCTGGCTCTCAGTGTGTGTTTGGACGAGCCTTAACTGCCACGCGACAGGGCTGGGGACAAGGAGGGAGGGAGGTCACTTGCAGCCCCTGGAAGAAACACAGGACCTATGCTTATTTGCTTGGCCTGCAGACCCCATCACTTCCTCCCCCTGTGCTGCGTGGGGCTGGGAGGGGGCCCTGTCTAAGCCCTCTGCTGCCCTGGGCCTGCGTCCCAGGCTTGGAGGATGGTGACAAAGCTAGGCTGGCCTGGCTCAGGGAGGGAACTGGAGGTTAATGAGCCAGGGGAGCGGGGCCGGAGGCGGGCGGAAGGGCCAGATGGAGGCGGCTGCCTCGCAGAGGGGTGCTGGACCTCACACCCAGTGCCAGCTAACATGGGCAGTTTCCTGCAGCACAGTTTCTAAATAAAGATGCTGAAGGGCCTATGAACTGACCAAGTGTCACCACTTGTCAGTGCTGCAACTCGATGGCTACCCAGCTTCTGAGCTGTTTGATTTGGGGCCCTCATAGGGGTCTGAGGCAAATACTGGTGAGGACGCTCCTGGTCCCAGAGCTCACTGCCCCTCTCTCACTAGCACCACCTGAGTTAGTTAGCCCTTCTCGCCTCAGCCATGACGTACGGGGGTTGAACCCTTTCCCATCCCAAGGAGGAGCCTGAGTGGTCTAAGGAATCAGTGTGTCCTGTCCCCTGGGCCCCCGGAGGGACCGGCATGTGATGGGCACGTGACCCAACCTCAGCCCTGTGTGTGTGTACGTGGGGGTGAACTGCTCTTCTCTCCTGGCTGTGGGGGCTGAGGGATGAGGGCGAGAGGCAGGGACCACTCCAACTCCCGAGGGGTCACAGGGAGAGGGCAGAGCTGGCACTGAGCACGGTGTGGGGAGCAAGCTCCGAGAGGCAGCCGACACTGTGGAAGTGTCTGGAAGTCCAGGGTCTCACCTGTGGGTCCAGCACTTGCTCTTTGGTTGGGGACACGGCCTGGCTAATGGGGGCAGAGTCACTCTCGATGGCCTGGAGGACTTCCAGAAGCTTTTGCTGTTGTCTGAAACGTGACTTCATGTTAGCCAACAGGTAGCAACGGCTGATACACCACAGAGGACATTGCCATCCAGGAAACTACACTTACTTTTCTACCTCAGAGAGATGTAGCTATTTCAAAAGATAGTACAGTTGGCCCTTGAACAACATGGGAGGTTAGGGGCACCGACCCTCCGCCCCGGCGAAAATCTGCGTTTAACTCCCCCCCCCCGCCCGAACTTAACGACAGTCCTTCGGTGTCCGTGGGGGACCAGTTCCAGGATGTCCAGGATGCCCTGTAGACCACTGATAGTCAGGTCCCTTCTCTAAGACGGTGCAGAGTGATGCATACACTCAGCCCTCCACATCCGGGGACTCCCAACCCCAGCGCCAAAACACTGCTTTCTGTTTGGGGTTGGTTGAATCCATGATGCAAAACAGGGGGATACAAAGGGCCGACTGTATATTTATTGAACAAAACCCCCATATAAGTGGACCCTCGCTGTTCAAGCCTGTGTTTTTCAAGGGTCAACGATACTCGCCCCACGTATAGTTCAAAGGTGCATATGGGATGTTTCTCTCCCTTTATAAATAATGGGAAAATGAGTAATGAAATCAGAGCCAAGTAAAAGAAACTGCTTGGGCAAGATGGCCAGTGGACCTCCATAAGCTGAGAACAGGGAGGGGTCAACAAAGTACAGCCAGCAGCTCAAATGCAGCCTGTGGTCTGTTTTTGTGTGGCCTGCAAGCTAAGGATGGTTTTTACACTGTTTTAAAGGATCGTGAAAACAAAAAGTAAAAAGCCTAAAGTATTTGCTACCTGGCCGTTTGCTGAAAAAAGCGTGCTGGCCCCTGGTCTAGAGGCCGCCCTGCACCTCCTTTTCTGAGGACATGGGCATTCCACACCCGGTAGGGTGGCGTCTGCAAAGGCACCCCGTGTCCTGTTTGAGGCTGCATACCCCCCCTGCCCCTTAGCCAGGCATGGGCATGGCGGCCTGGGCAGCGTGGCTGTGTACCGGTCCATGCCTGTAAGAGTAGGCTCAACCTGGCACAGCTTTCTGAACACCAATTTTACCTGAAGACTAGAGGAAAGCCTTTATTTTGACAATAAAACTTGACAGTTCTGGTAACTGATGCTGCATGTTAATGGAACAGAATGCTGCATCGGAACACGTTTTAATAGAGGAAAGAAGGTTCAAGGGACGCTGCTTCGGGGCGCTCTTCCCCTCCCTGCCCCCCCCCCAGGGCCTGCTGGGAGCAAGTTCACCACCATCTGACATTGGGGGTGCTTCGGTGGAAACCTTTGAGGAGATTGGAGCTTTATACAGGCTGGACTGAACTGAACAGGCAAAGAGACATTTGCCTGAAAGAAATCAAGTCAGTTTTGCACTTTAGGGCTGGAGCGGGGGTGAGGGAGGGAGGATACAGCCTAAAGGGGCAGTTTTAAATGGTCTGGAGTAACATAGGAAAAGCAAAGAAAAACCTCAGTTAATAGGTCCTCACGGCTGCATTGCTATGGGTTTCTTGGTTTTGTTTTGAAGTCGTCTGGATAAGTACCTGCTCCCCAAAAGGCAGATTCTGTCAATGGCATCACTGACAGCTAGGGCTCCCCCTGCTGCCCTGGAGGGCTCCGGTGCACTGGTTGCCACGGTGATGGGAAGATGCTAAGGATGGAAAAGCTTATTAAACAGATGTCCCAGGCGACACTCCTGGCCCAAAACACAACAGAGCCATGGTCAAAGGGACACGCTTCTCAGGCCACCAGTCCCTGCTGCAGGAAGCAGGGGACAGGAATGAGAGTGACAGCGTCTTCCTGGGGCTGATTAGATCTAGAATACCCCTTACGTGAGCTTTGCAAAAAGACAGGGATCTCTGGGCCGGCCGAGTGGCGCGATGGTTAAGAACTCGCTTGGGATGCCAGAGGGCCCCGGTTCGGATCCCACATATGAGGGCCAGTGACAC